TAAAAAGGGGCATAATATATAACTCCATAAATATAGCTTTCAGAATTGTGTCCCTTGTCTTATAAATGCACATTGTCATGCATAATAAGCAAATATTCTAAGTTTTGTTTGAAATGTTTAATAAATTGGCTACATTACAGTTTTTGTATGACAACAACAACAATGACACAGCGATCAAAGTAGTTCAACTTTTCTTTGAATCAGACAAGAATTTATTTCTGGTATGATTTTAATATTATGTTCTCCAAGAGAGGGGAATGGAGAGCCATTCAGAACAAATTAATAGAGATTATGTGAAAATCAAAGACTCAATTTCCTTGAGTTTGCAATTTAAACAACCTAAATGATTTATCTGGGAACATAAAATTATTAGATAAATTTCAAATCTTTTGTTCCCCCTTCATAGAAAATTCCATACTGGAATGACTTTTGATCAATTCTTTAGTCAAATATCTTGAAATCTATTAGTGTTAACCCAATTAAAGCTTGCTGCAATATAAAATATTAACATTGGCCCATTTTCATTTAGAAGTTCAGCATTTCAAAACTGAATATGTAAATAGCAGACACATATATTACATAAAAGCTGCATGACAATAGAATGAAATATAGATTCTCAGATTTCCAAGCATTTCAGTGAGGATGAATGGTTCTCCCATCCTCTCTAGGGACGTCTAACTTTATGATGGTTAACTTAAAATACATTCTTATAACAGTTTCTCCTGATTGATATCAATTCACTTAATTCTCTCACTCAAGAAAACAAGAGGGCCATGATGGCCCTGAGGTCGCTCACCTGTATATAGCACCTGTATATAGGCCCCCGGAGCGGGGCCAGTTTACACTCCAGGGCTTTTATTTGAGCAAACTTGGAAGACACCCATTAGAAGATGTTTCATGATGTTAAGTTTTTACTACACACATATAATGAAAAACAATGACCTCCGCCCCCCCCCCCCCCTTTGGCAGGGCCAATTTAAACCCAAGGGCTTTTATTTGGACAAACTTGGTAGACACAAACAAAAAGATGTTTCCTGCTAAAAATCTAACCTCTAGCTCATTGGGTTTTTTAAAAGAAGATTTTTTAAGTTTTTACTATACACATATAGTTAAAAACAATGACACCTCTGGGGCGGGGCCAGTTTTAACCCCAGGGCTTTTATTTGAACAAACTTTGTAGACACTTACTAGAAGATGTTTCATTCTTAATATCTAAACTCTAGCTATTTGGGTTTTTTCAAAGAAGATTTTTAAGTTTTTGCCATACACATATAAGGAAAATCAATGACCCCCGGGGCGGGGCCAATTTTGACCCCAGGGCTTTTATTTGTTTTATTAAATGTTTTATAAACTTAAGGCCATTTTATTCCAATTACAACATAAATATTTCATTTTCATTAACCAAGATCAGATCGCATAAAGCATTTTCATGCCAGATGCAACAGACTAATGTGGACTGGTTTACTTTTCTATTTGAACACTTAATGTAACAATTTTATAACTTCTACTATATTTACATGTAAGCTACAACAGTACTGCACATAACTTGTGTTGTGTTGTGCACATCAATAGAACCCACTTCCCAGGCAATCAATTATTCAAATTGATTTCACATTTACATATTCATTAAGCTGATTTTCTAATTTCATTTCAGCATCCTAATAAGGTTAGCATCTATATATCTGTCCACAAAAAGTAATCAATTCTAAAACTGCTCCTACATTTTCATTTTCGCCTTTGGCTAAATAATTCATCCAAGTTTCTTCAAACTTACTATTCAGTATTGAAATGACAGAGCTTGCTTGAATCAAATTATTTTTTTTCCATTTTTTGTTTGTTTAATTTATTGCACTCTGATTTAGCTATTCCAAGTCAAAATGACCAAGTGAAAATGAAAGCAGGACTTAAAAGCCTAAACAACACATCAAAACCTAGTCCAATTAAAACAATTTATTACATGCTTTTCGGTGGTTTATAGAAATATATCAGTGAAATAAACAAGAGGGCCATGATGGCCCTGAGGTCGCTCACCTGTATATAGGCCCCCCCCCCCCCCCAACGTTGCAGGGCCAATTTAACCCAAGGGCTTTTATTTGCACAAACTTGGTAGACACCCATAAGAAGATGTTTCATGCTAAACATCTAAGCTCTAGCTCATTGGGCTTTTTAAAAGAAGATTTTTTTTAAGTTTTTACTATACACATATAGTTAAAAACAATGACACCCCTGGGGCCGGGCCAGTTTTGACCCCAGGGCTTTTATTCGAACAAACTTTGTAGACACTTACTAGAAGATGTTTCATGCTTAATATCTAAACTCTAGCTATTGGGGTTTTTTCAAAGAAGATTTTAAGTTTTTGCTATACACATATAAAGAAAATCAATGACCCCCGGGGCGGGGCCAATTTTGACCCCAGGTCTTTTATTTGAACAAACTTTGTAGACACTCACTAAAAGATGTTTCATGCTAAATATCTCAACTCTAGCTATTTGGGTTTTTTCAAAGAAGATTTTTTAAGTTTTTGCTATACACATATAAGGAAAATCAATGACCCCCGGGGCGGGGCCAATTTTGACCCCAGGGCTTTTATTTGAACAAAATTGGTAGACACATATTAGAACATGTTTGATGCTTAATATCTTAGCCATAGCTCTTTGAGTTCTTTAAAAGAAGATTTTTTAAGTTTTTACTATATGCATATAGGGAAAATCAATGACCCCCCAGGGCGGGGCCAATTTTGACCCTGGGGCTTTTATTTGAACAAACTTGGTAGACACTTATTAGAACATGTTTCATGCTAAATATCTTAGCTCTAACTCTTTTGGTTCTTTAAAAGAAGATTTTTTAAGTTTTTACTATATGCATATAGGGAAAATCAATGACCCCCTGGGGCGGGGCCAATTTTGACCCCAGGGCTTTTATTTGAACAAACTTGGTAGACACCCATTAGAACATGTTTGATGCTCAATATCTTAGCCATAGCTCTTTGAGTTCTTTAAAAGAAGATTTTTTAAGTTTTTACTATATGCATATAGGGAAAATCAATGACCCCCCGGGGCGGGGCCAATTTTGACCCCAGGGCTTTTATTTGAACAAACTTGGTAGACACCCATTAGAACATGTTTCATGCTAAATATCTTAGCTCTAGCTCTTTGGGTTCTTCAAAAGAAGATTTTTTAAGTTTTTACTATATGCATATAGGGAAAATCAATGACCCCCCCCCCCGGGGCGGGGCCAGTTTTGACCCCAGGGCTTTTATTTGAACAAACTTGGTAGACACACACTCTTTCATGCTTAATATCTTAGCTCTAGCTCTTTGGGTTCTTTAAAAGAAGATTTTTTAAGTTTTTACTATATGCATATAGGGAAAATCAATGACCCCCTGGGGCGGGGTCAATTTTGACCCCAGGGCTTTTATTTGAACAAACTTGGTAGACACTCACTAGAAGATGTTTCATGCTTAATATCTAAACTCTAGCTATTTGGGTTTTTTCAAAGAAGATTTTTAAGTTTTTGCTATACACATATAAAAGAAGATTTTTTAAGTTTTTACTATATGCATATAGGGAAAATCATTGACCCCCCCCCCCCCCGGGCGGGGCCAATTTTGACCCCAGGGCTTTTATTTGAACAAACTTGGTAGACACTCACTAGAAGATGTTTCATGCCAAATATCTAAGCTCTAGCTCTTATGGTTTTTTAAAAGAAGATATTTAAAGTTTTTTCTTTCGGTTGCCGCCATGGCAACCAGAGTTAACCAGAGTTAACCAGAGTTCTGCATGGAATTAAATTCTTTGAACAATTTTTAAAGGTGACCACCAAAGGAACATTCCTGTGAAGTTTGGATGAAATTGGCTTAGTGGTTTATGAGGAGATGTCATTTAAAGTAAAAGTTTACGGACGGACGACGGACGGACGCCGGACGAAAAGCGATCACAAAAGCTCACCCTGTCACTTTGTGACAGGTGAGCTAAAAACTGATAATTTCACTGTTTTGAAAATTTGAGCCCTTTACGTTGTTTCAGTGAAATACAAGCGTTCACAGTACTGGAAACCAACATAATGACGTCACAATGCATTTATATTATTTGGCGCCCTTTTCATTTTGTACTAGGTTTAAATGTCTTTTTAAACGTTGCTTTGCATATAATAAAAAGAAAAGTTTAGTTTAATGTAAGATCAAAATATATTTCACCTCATGAACACCAAAATTTCATATTTCACTCGTGGCTGTGCCACTTGTGAAATATACCTTTTGGTGCTCACTCAGGTGAAATATATTCCTATCATACACTGAACTAAACAAAAATCCTCTATATGACAGCATGTGATATATATTGACTCTTCTGTCTGTTGTTTTATTTGTTGTTACTTTAATTATTGTTTTAGTGTTGTTGTTGTCATCATCATTGTCCTTGTCATAATCTCAATTGTCATCATCATCATCAAACCTATTTAAATTTTTTGTTTACTGAGGTGTTATTCAAAAAAACATTCATTTCCTCACTTTAAATACCATGTTAATTACAATGATGATATTAATTAATTAGGACAAATTCTCAATGAAATCAACTCCAACAGATAGATATTGGAAAACTGAAAGATGCTGTCTTGCTAAACTGCAATTTAGAATATGAAAGGTTGCAAATTATTTTTTCAAACATTTATTTCTTCCGCAGGAAAACAGCAAAGAGTGTTATTGGGAGTATAAAAAACCTCCGTATCAATTCTTCCGACCAATTAAACACACAGCTTAAAATTACAGCTGAAATGACGAGAGTCTTGAGGAAAAATTGGAAATGAATATGAACAACAAAAAAAAAATTGGAAAACATTGCCGTGAAGTTCAGGGTTCATAGTTATTGATTTTAGCAGTAATAACTGTGACAATCATTTCTATAGTAACCTGGCTTGTCTGTTCCCAATATGTTTCCAGTAAAAAGCCATTGGTTATTTCCAATACACACACACACAAACTTCTCTGACATTCCGTTTTTCCTATATCAGTTTAAGTTATGGTCTAGTGTAATATCACACACTGTGGTAACTGTGCCTCACTCTTATAACTGTATTCTAACAAGACAGTAAATGAATTGACTTTTAGGTATTATTTTTATAATTTTATTTTTCAAGACAAAATAAGCCAAAGGTTCATATGTCTAAAGTTACGGGACTAATATAAATAATATTTATTTAAGTGAAATACAGCCAAAAGGAGAATTATTATATTATATGCATCGTCTGAATAACAAAACGTAAGGTAAGACTCTTTTATTATAATATTTTTGCAACATTTAATCACTGTAACCTGATATAAAATCCTATAATGTTCTTCCATTACAGTATTCAATAATTAACTTCGGAGGTTTCATAGCTATTATTCTCTGAATTTTATGACACAAATGTTGAGAATTTAATATCTGCCTGTTCTTTAATACTTTATGGAGAAATTTTATGAAATCCAGTGATTATCTCATTTATTTACACTTCTTTTGACTGGCAGGACTGTTTCACAAAATCAAACTACTAACTGTTTTAGTACCTTTTCTTATCTCAATTTATTCTAACATGTAATTATATAATTAAATAATTCAAGTTTGAATATATAAATCAATTATGGATTCAATTTAAAAAAGGTATTTTTTATTTGAAAAATATACAACGTTTTGACTCCAAAGTTCAATAAAATAATGAAATATAAATATATATTCATTTTAATACAGACAGACAGATAGACAGACGTACATCACAATACAAAATGTTCAATAATCAGTTTAGAAAAAATCTGAAAACATTTTGAAATCATAAAATATGTAATCTATATAGGCCTTGGAAAAAATATTAATATAGGTAATGCGCAATGGTGTATTCTAAAATTGTCTTCTGCAGTAATTCTTTTACTGTAGATATTTTTTATTGTTTTTCATTCTCATTTTTTTTTTTTTTCTTACTTACATTTAATCTTAATGTTGTCAGTGTCTGATATAAATTTAAAATCTTAAGATTTAATTTTTGTATATTCATGGCGTATATATATGGACATTCAGGCCAGCTTTGAATAATTATGTAACTAATAACGGTTCTCACTTTAATTGGTACATTAAAATTTTGTATTTCAAATATCAAAAAGCTCAAACTAAAAACAGCTTATATGTTATGGTATATTATGCCTGGTCAGCTGGAAAGATGAAGACTCCCTGTGGTAAATTTAAAAACTATTAATTTTTTACTTTAAGGGGTCTGTATCAAAATGTATGCTAAAATTTAACAAAAAATTGAACAATTTTTAAATTCAAATATAATAAAATTTAACAGCCAAAAGTGATGCAGGGTGGTCATACTAAATAGAGGTGCTTTATACAGAATAGTTAATTTACAAAGTTCTTATTGCCACTTTCATTTAACAAATTTTTTCAAAGAAGTTTTGCATAATATTTTGATGACTTTTTAAGTCTATTTACAACACAAAGAATATTTACATTCATTTTCAAGCTTCAGTAACTAAAACTGCCACTATCATGGCGTGAATACCCCCGCATACCACTTTGTCCGAATCAACAGTGGCCATTTAGAGCTCAAGGACAACCTCCCTGCCAAATCTGAGGTTACTAAGCCAGTGCATTGCTAAGTTATGTATTCCACATGCTTCAAATGTGAAAATGTCAAAATCAATACATTGCGGACAGGACATTCTTTAGCAATTGAGAAGAAAAGCTTTTTTTTTGTCAAGGTCCCTGTGACCTTGACCTTTGACCCAGTGACCTCAAAATAAATAGGGGTCACCTTATAGTCATGATCAACATCCATGCCAAATATGAAGACTGTGGGTCAAAGGAATCTTAAGTTAATGGGTGGACAAACTTTTTGAAGTCAAAGTCCCTATGACCTTGACCTTTGAGCCAGTGACCTCAAAATCATAGGGGTCATCTACTAATCATGATCAACATCCAGGCCAAATATGAAGACTGTGGGTCAAAGGAATCTAAAGTTATTGGGCAGACAAACTTTTTGAAGTCAAAGTCCCTGTGACCTTGACCTTTGACCTGGTGACCTCAAAATCGATAGGGGTCATCTACTAATCATGACTAACCTCCATGCCAAATATGAAGACTGTGGGTCAAAGGAATCTTAAGTTATTGGGCGGACAAGCTTTTTGAAGTTAAGTCCCCTGTGACCTTGACCTTTGACCTCAAAATCAATAGGGGTCATCTACTAATCATGACTAACCTCCATGCCAAATATGAAGACTGTGGGTCAAAGGAATCTTAAGTTATTGGGCGGACAAGCTTTTTGAAGTCAAGGCCCCTGTGACCTTGACCTTTGACCTGGTGACCTCAAAATCAATAGGGGTCATCTACTAATCATGACTAACCTCCATGCCAAATATGAAGACTGTGGGTCAAAGGAATCTTCAAGTTATTGGGCAGGCAAGCTTTTTGAAGTAAAGGCCCCTGTGACCTTGACCTTTGACCTAGTGACCTCAAAATCAATAGGGGTCATCTACTAATCATGACTAACCTCCATGCCAAATATGACGACTGTAGGTCAAAGGAATCTTAAGTTATTGGGCGGACAAGCTTTTTGAAGTCAAGGCCCCTGTGACCTTGACCTTTGACCTAATGACCTCAAAATCAATAGGGGTCATCTACTAATCATGACTAACCTCCATGCCAAATATGAAGACTAAGGGTCAAAGGAATCTTAAGTTATTGGGCGGACAAGAAAAAACTGACGGACAGCCGGACGTACGGCCGGACGGACAAGCTGATTCCAGTATACGCCCCTTACAACTTTGTTGTGCGGGGGTATAATAAATGAAAGAAAAAAATCCCAAGAAATTTTACTGAAAAATCATTTTAGTTGGTAGAAGACCCAGTCTAGTGTAAGTTTGATAAATAAGTTAGTCTTCATTCTAAAAATAAATTAAACAAAACAAGCTTGTACAGTAAAGGTCATATCATTAGTAAAATCTTGTGACAGCTGTGCTGCATCTAATTACCATGACAATATCATTTCAACTTAATAATTGATTTGAGTTGATTTGAACAAGGTTTATATTCTATTCCCCAACACTTGAACTAAGGTTTTTTTGGACTGAGTTTAATGAAATTTTATTTATTTACCAAGATTATTATTTTGGACCAAGTTGAATGATTTACAGTATTCATTTCCCCTTTTTTCAATATCAGATGCAGATCTATATTCCCCTTTACAGGCCCATAATGACCTAGAAATCCTTTTATTTTTATTTCTCAAAAGCTTTTATCTCTTTGGTGTTCTGTTATAGTTTCCAAAAAGTTACTTATAGGTCAATTACCTGGCAATGTAATTATTATGTTCAGATGGCCCTAATCTGATCTGACCTGATTACATGCACTGGTCCCATAGGTAGATTCAATCCCTAACTGAGCAGGCATTAAAATTGTTAAATGAATATTGTAACTAAAATATTATTCTCTTGAAATAACACTGGTGAATTAATGGCCTGTTCTGAAAATTTATCAGACCTAAAACATTAAACAAAGCAAAGATAAGAGTTTAAGAAATTGCTGACTTTGGCTTGAATATTGACCTGTGCTTTGACACCCAACTATCACTGTAGAGACATTGAGAAATGCCTGCAGATAGATTGAGAATTTAACACCTTACTGCACATGGTAATCAATGCAGCAGTGCTGTTATAGCATGCAGCTTTCACCATCAATTCTCTTTACAAATTCTTTAATTCTACTGGAAATTAGTTCCGCTCAAAGAAAATTACAGTGGATTTTCTGACTACCCTTGCCTTTTTATGGTAGTCTTTCAATTAAACTGCTGAGTAAAAGTTTAAATTCTCTTACATAAAGATGCCATTATTTTCCTTATAATATCTTTGTTTAGCTTTCACAATGTGTCCCTAAATATTTTTTGATGTTTAAACACCTTTTAAACCAGAGATGTTAAACAATAAACAAATAAATATTGTCAAACAATTTTTTTATAGCATTTTAATTCTTTCATGTTTGCTTTTAGAAAAGGTTGTTAGAATTTTGTATCACTTTCCTATAAAATTGTTAATTTTCTCACTGCTGTTTAACCAATTTCCTAGCAGAGCCTCTAATTAGACAAGTGGTAAAAGTTGTTTGCCCTCAGGTCTCATTACTGTAGGTTTTAATCCTAATTCTTTAACATAAAACCCAACAACCCAACCAAAAATACTTAAAGGTATCCAACAAACATGCATTTTTCCTAAAAAAAATTCAGAATTCTATTGCTTAACTTATCATTATTAAAGAAATGGTCAATTATGGAATAATCTGAAGTCTAAAAAATTAGCTTCCATGATTTAAAAGCCTCAATAAAACTTAGAAAATTAATATTCATTAGTTATCAAAGTAAATAAACTGAATGAAGATATTATGTGACTTTAATGTTAACATTTGCAAACTACAGTCAGTAAACCTTGTAATTATAATTCTTCAGTTTCAATGTTTTCATCGGCACCATTTTCATCGGCATCGTTTTTATCGGCAACTCACAGCTACCTCCTATTATCTACCATTCTGTGAACTTATCTTTTCATGCAGTCAGGCCTATTAAATCTGCATGATTTATGATCCATATTATTTCGGCTTTATGATTAATTTGCTACATAACTTCAAACAGCATCAACAAATAACTACCAAACATATAATCAGAACCATATGTTTAATATCTAATGTATTGGAATAACAGCTCATCTTTTGTTAATTTCCATGTTACAAAATAAATATAATCATTTGCTAGAGCTGGGGTTTTATTTTCATTGTTATCTCCCTGACACAATACTATACAAGATTAATTAACAATTATTTCTTTTACACAAACATTCATAATTATAGTCTGCAATTTTCTCATATTTATTTTGATTTCAGTGCTCTCAAGGGATTATCTCCCCCTTTTCAGATTTTTTTTAATATTAACAGCAGGTACCATGAACTTCTTCTTAGTTTTGATATCCTTTCAATGGTCCTTAGGGATCATTGATTCTAACATATTTCTTATTGAAGACTGAATATTGCTTAAGTGGTTGCTAAGGGGAAAAAGATAAGTTGCACTAATATGTAGTCTAAAACAGTAAACCTCAGACTTTTTGATTTGGAGTAAGATTTTTTTGTGGAGTTTTTTCTGTCTATTTTTTGTTTATTTTTTTTGGTGCAGGGCGGGGTGGGGAGTTGGGAATGGGGTGGTGTGGGTAGTGTGATTACTCTGAAGTGATATCCAGTTCATGTGATCCCCAAT